TAATCACTAGAAAGAACACTTCTCTCAGAGACGTAGAATTGAAACCAGGAGTCCCAAATCTCAGTATTCCTGTTGTCAGCAAATATTTGTGAAACCCACTGGCAAAATGTCTTTCATCCCTCTCTAGTGCCTGATCCACCTATTCAGCCTGCTACAGCTACCAGTTTGTTAGCTCAAGTGGTCTGTGCTTGGGATGAAAAGATCCAAACCGCACTGATGACTCAATTTGGGTTCAATATAGCTCCCTGTGATTAAAAAAAAAAAAAAAACCTCTTTAAAATTAAAACATTACATAAAAAAGAACTACATTGAAAAATGCAAAGGCTGCAAAATCCAACACCCAAAAGTTAGGAAATACCAGGAGGTTGCTAATGAAATCCCCTTGTTCTTATGAATTATGACAGTCTTATTATACAATCACATACATTTTTTTCCACAAGACCACTGCCTCATTCAGTGCACAGCATAGATGGGGCTCTGGAAATAGCTTAGGGTTGGGTAATGAATGAGGCTGTCATCTGTAGAATCCCTACCTCATTTGTTGCAGAAGTTAGATGGTATGGAATGAATAAAGCAGGGGTTGCAGGAAGAGGAAAGCAAAGTCTTATGCTTAAGGAAGCTGAAAGCCACCCTAGAGAATTAGATTCTATCCCTGCCACTGCCACAGAGATTCTATGTGATGTTAGTGAAGTCACTTAAACCAAAATGTTCTCAGTTGGCCTCTAGCTGTGTTTTTCTTTTTCTGGGTGCCCATGAGACACCTGGGACCAGATCTGCACAAGTGTGAGCACTCACAACTATAACTGAAGTCAACTGGAACTGTGCTTTGAACAAATAATATGTTATAAAAATGGCTATAAAATGCTAAGTTTTCTGGGGGAAACACAGGTCCTAGGTGTCTCAAACTGGGCACCCAAAATTAGTGGATACTCGACAATTTTGGCCTTCATCTTTCTATGCCCTTAGTAGAATTGATATACCACCGCCTAGTCACACAAGTGTGTTGTGCAGATAAATTCATTAATGTTTGTGAAGCACTCAGATACTACAACAGCTAATTAGAAAATACCCAGGATAAAATTCTTAATTTTGTATTCAGTCCAGGGTTTGAATAGGGTGCAGTAAATAAACCCAAGGCCATACACCAGATGAATATTAAAGACTACTCACTCACTGAATGAGGCAAGGCTTCTGCAGGAAAACTAGTATTCAATCATAATGCATATGCTCAAGAGGGCCAAACTCTGGTTGCACAGGCAAACTGAAGCCTGGCATTTCGTAGAAGTGCTTCACTTTGCAATTTTAACATAGTGGCTTTTTTTCCTTTCTTTTTTATATAATTGTAGGATAAGTTATTGCCAGAAGAATAATACTGTTACTCCACAATGTTGTATTAAGGCAGATAAAAATTCCTCACACAAAGACAATATAATGTCTAAAAAAAGAGGAGCCTGGAACATAAGCCATACTAGATTATTATTATTTTAAACAACTGACAGGGCAAAATTTTTGCTCAGTTAGCTGGGCTCTTCGAAGTGCCCAACAGGTTTTGAAGTGAAGGTGGTTTTCTATTTTCTGCACAAGGCTAATAAACTTTAGGCCTGATTTTCAGCGAAGCCAAGTAACACCAGCTCTCAAAAGTCAAGAATTCAAAGTGCTCAATGATTCTAAAAATCATGCATTTTTAAAAGGAAACAGAATGTCCATAGTAAACTGTGGAGACTAAAGTTGAGATTAACATAACATACTCTGACTTTAGAAGGTGTAATCACTCACTCTCCAGCAAGAATTTTTCAAATTCCCTCTCTAAGCAGGGATGTAGAGAAAGAGAATGAGGTATAGTGCAGGGATGGGGAAAACAAAACTAACGCAGGTGCATGAAGCTTAAATCCTTGGAATATGCAACAGGAAAACATGCAGAAAAGATATACAACAGTTACATGGGGTAGTGGAAATAAATGCTGCAGTTTCCTTGACTAAAGAGGTAATCTTTAAACATAATACATTTTAATGTAGCCTAAAAGTTCAGTCAAACTGTTCAGCAAACCTTCACTTTGTTTATATAAACTTTGCAGTCTTATATAAACATAACCATTACAAGGTCAATCTGTTCATCTAACTAAGATAGGCCTCTGAGGACAAAACCAGTTTGATTCCTGAAGTCAATACGTAAGGGTCTTCTTGAATGCATTCCTGGGGCTAGATTTCTTTGTAGATACCTTTAAAAAAGTCTCCTCTTACACACTGTACATGTCAAAGGTAGAATGAAATGCTTTACACTCAGTTGAGTTAAAAAATTCTCATAAATGCAGCAGGAGAACAAGTGAAGTAATGGTCAGCAAGCAAACCACTCATTCATGCATCCACCTTTCTCTCCAACTCTAAAGCAATTTATTCTACCTCTGTCAAATATTTTGAGGGAAGGCTTGTTTGATATCTATATATAAAAAGCTTATTTTATATATATATATATATATATACACATACATATTTTACAATAAAATCACAGTTATAGGTCTCACTAACATTAGCTGTTGAGTACGATTTAAAATAAAATAAAAACAACATTTAAGTCCCTAAATGCATATCCACGCAAGTCACAGTTTATATAAAGAGTGAAACACAAAATTCCTCAAAACTATGCAATATTACGCTACGAAAGTCACTCACTGTCAGCAATAGGTGTCAGCAACAGAGAAAGCAGAACATGTTTTAACTGCAATTGTAAATTAAGTACTAAGTGTATTCCACACACCTTTAGAAACTGCCAGATCCAATACTGACACCAATTGGTAGAATATACAGGTTTTAATTTTTTACTATTCATTAAAGTAAAAAGAGTGCCAGCTCTAAAAATAAATTACACAGCCTTTCACTAAATTCCATATAAGCATAAATGATGACCCCCATTACTTACTACTCAGCAATTAACTCAGATTCACAAAGACTAAGTGAATGGAGTGGATACAGTAAAACCGAACACAAACTTGGGGAAGACTATCAACTTGATCCTGCATCACTTACATTTGGTTATATACTCGGGGGGTTTTAGTATCTAGTCTTCAAAGTTAGAAACTATATGCTATGGTGGTGCTGTATAACTATTTAGCTTTCTTCCAAATCCCCTCCAGACTTGATGCACACTGGGCATCAAGTGGACACTGGGCCCAACAGCAACAAACTGAGGGAAAGCACGGTTTCAAGGAGGACTGGAGGAAAAAAACCACATGCTAAACAGCAACCCCTCTACAACCTTTGTATGCTGAATGATTAATACAGAAATCTACTTTGTCAAGTAAGAAAAACTCCCCTAGGACTAATGATGAAACTTTAAGAGGAAATATGCCACAGAAGCATCTATCACACTCTGGCATCCTTTTCCCTTAAAGGCGGCTTGGAATCCAGGATTTAAATTTTAATAAAACATAGTTAACTTTCCAATAGTTATGTTTGCATATATTCAGTGTATTTTTATTATTACTACTACTACATGTATTCAGGCTTCCAAGGCTTGAAAAGTTTACTTTATGTCCAGTACTCTAAGGAAAAAAACCTACTAGTCAAGTTGAAAATCCTGTTACACTTCCCTCCAAAGTCATGCCCCCTATGATTTATAGAGAGAAGAGAAATATACTTTATTTTATTGTCAATGTTTCAATTTGCTGCATTGAAAAAATTTAAGTCTGTCTCTTGCTTCTATTATGACTTCTTTCTACTTCCTCACTTTATTCAACTTTCTTATTTTCCTACAATACATTATGGTGTATTGCCAAAAGCAAGTGGATTTTTCAAGACTTGCATGCTTATTATGATAAAACCTCAACATTTAAAAGAAAAGCACATATCTAGCAACTCAAGCCACAACTACATCAATGGAAAAAACATGGTGACGGGGGAGAGGAGCAGACAACTTATTTCAAAACCAGATTACTAATATTAATCTCTCAATGCTACGTAGTATGTTGTACAGCAGAAATCCAGACCCCGTTTAGTTCAGCACTCCCTCCTAGTCCAATCATACTTACATAGGAAATACTTGCCCAATAAGAGCACCACCACTCCAAAACTTCTGCCTATCAACACAACCAACAATCAATTGATGTGCCCTACATCCCATGCAATCCAGGTGACACTGTGCTCTTCAGTGTCAAAGAAAAACTAGGTTTCAGAGTAGCAGCTGTGTTAGTCTGTATCTGCAAAAAGAAAAGGAGTACTTGTGGCACCTTAGAGACTAAGATGCATCCGATGAAGTGAGCTGTAGCTCACGTAAGCTTATGCTCAAAAAAATGTGTTAGTCTCAAAGGTACCACAGGTACTCCTTTTTTAAAGAAAAACTAGTGGGCAGAGTCTAGTAGGATGCGAAAGTTCAGAGTTTATTGAGGCCATCCCTCCCCCCGGGTTCCTTGCAACAGTTTCATTAGCATAGATAGTACTGGGCTAAGGCAAAGAGAGTCCCCCAAATAAACCTCCACAGTACTGGACCAGGCTCACTTTCCTCCAGATGAGTCTGGCAGTCAGCAGTCTCTGCACAGGCCCTTTCCTTGGGGAGCAGAAATAGGAGATATTGGGCGGTCCTCTTTCCTTTTTAACTGCCCCTTCATCCCCTGACAGCAAGCCCAAGTGTAGCGTGGAGGGGCTTAATGGGCCCCCTCATCAACCTTTCCTGGCTCAGTGTGGGCTTGCCAGCCCTCATCATCACACCTGGCCCCTTCCCGTGACCAGCCCCCAGAGATGAAGGAAACCACTCACTGTCAGCCCTCGCTTACCACAAGTGGAGGCAAAAGCGAAGCCCCCCCGCCAGTGATGTGGGACCCCACCGACGCTTACGGGGCCTCTGCCTTTAACAGGATCCCCGCGCTTATCCCATTTCGGAGTCCCGCCCTTTGCCCTGAGTCACCCCCGCCCCACGGGTCGGGTTCAGGCGAGAGCAGCGTGCACGGCCACCCTGCATGCCCCTCCCCGCCGCCGGGTACCGGGGGGGCGGGGGCTGGGCCGGTTACCGGTGAGGCTCCGCAGCACGGTGCCGTGCGCCCACAGACTCAGCACTTGCTGCACCGACAGGTTGATCATGGAGTTGTCCCCCGCTTCCGCCTTCATCTTCCCCGAGGGGCTCCCCGCCTCCTCCGCTGCTCCTCAGCCGCCAGGGGCTGGCGGCGGCCGGGTCGCGGCGACAGCGGGGAGGCCGGGCTCCTTCCGCGCCCAGGCGGCTGCTGCGGGCCGACGGCGAGGGGGCTGCGGCGGCGGCGAGGGGGCCGGAGCGCTGGACTCCAAGGCGGCAGCAGCCTCCCCGCGGCGGGGGAGACATTGAGGACGGAGAGGGGTCGTGGAGGGGGCCGCTGGCTCGCCGCCTCCGGCTCGGCCCGGGGCCTCCTCAGGGGCAGGGGACGGGTCGGCGGGGCTCCGAGCCGGTGGGCGGGAGGCGGGGGTCGGCGGGGCGGGAGGCCCCCACCTCCCTCCTCAGCCTCTTCCTCATCATCGCCCCAGCCGCCAGCATCACCTGAGGCGGGGGTGGAGGCGCCCGCGAGGCACACACGGAGCAACCGCCACCCCGGCTCTGAACCGCTTTGCGCGCGCCGGCCACCCTCGCGCCACCCCCTGCAGTGCACGAGCCGGCGTCAGCGAGGGACGCAACGGTAAAAGCGCGTGTGCGCTCGACGCTCGGAGGGAAACCTTCTGACTGCGCAGGCGCGAGTCACTCCCTCCTTCCCGCTCTCTCCTGGGGGAGGCGAGAAGTGGCGGGCTGGTGCCTGCGTGCTGAGAGCGCAATTGGGTTTCACTGCAATGGGGGTGTGGCGTCTCCCTTTGCCCAGCCCTGGAGGCATCGCATCCGCGTACCCATCCTGTGCCCCCCCACCCCATTTCTGCAGCCAGTAGGTCTTCCACCTGTTGCCACAAGCACATGCTGCTGCACCTGCAGGCTTGAGGTGGTTTCCATCATCTACAGGGTTTACAGTTTGGTTCAAAGGCTCTCAACACCCTAACATTTTTTCCAGCACCCCTGCCACCACTCCTACACCTGGGGAGCTAGCCTTTTTAGTGCTGCCCCCAGGTGTTAGTGCCTGCACTTTTAGCTGCCAGAGTGGTGCCCACACACCTGTCCCATTACTGGGGTTATGGTATGGTGGTACAAGCAGCCTGCTGCCCCTAGTGAATAGTGCCTGCATTACGGCAACCAGAACCATCCTCACATCTGAGGCAGTAGCAAAACTCCCATTGACTTAAATAAGATCAAGTCCGTCATCTCCAGAGCTCAGATTTCCACAGCACTAAGCATTCCAGGAGGATAGTTAAAACTTCTATTTTAAAACAAATTAAATGTAATCTAATGCTGGTACAGGAGCCGCAACTTGGTCAGCAACAGAAGAGTCAAGGTGTACACACCCTCGTTTGTAAAAAGCATGACTATTAATGTAGCACAAGCTTTTGCTATTATTTAGTTTGATAGCTTTGAATCTGTCTTTATCCGATAGAGCATTTACCATCATTAAACTATGTAATACAAGAATAAAATTCACAAAAGAATGAGCTCTCCCTGCACTTGTCCACAATAGTAACAATTAGTGCTCAAAATAGCACCATCTATGATGTCTCTGTGGCACTAACACTACCCACGTTAATCCCACAGATAATTACCCTATAGTCTCAAACTACCCCTTCTGCCAGCTGCTTGCGGGGCGGAGTGGGGAAGAGTCTTTTTGACTCAGGCTTTAAGGCCAGAAGGGACCATCGTGATCATCTACTCTGACCTCCTGCACATTGTAGGACACAGAACCTCACCCACTCACTCTTGTAATAGACCCTTAACCACTGGCTGAGTTACTAAAGTCCTCAAATCATGATTTAAAGTCTTCAAGTTACAGAGAATCCACCATTTACAGTAGTTTAAACCTGCAAGTGACCCCTACCCCATGCTGCAGAGGAAGGCAAAACAAAAAAAAACCACCAGGGTTTTTGCTGAACTGATCCTGGGGAACCAACCCCAAATATGGCAAACAAGTCCCAGCAACCAGACAAATGGGAAAGTATTCTTTGTAGTAACTTGGAGCCCTCCCCATTTAGTGTCCCATCAACAGCTGTTGGAGGTATTTGCTACTTGCAGTTGCAGATTGATTACATGCCATTGTAAGCAGTCCCATCATACCATTGCCTCCATAAGCCTATCAATCTCGGTCTTGAAGCCAGTTAGATTTTTTGCCCTAGTATGCCACTTGGAAGGCTGTTCCAGAACTTCACTCCTCTGATGGTTAGAAACCTTTGTCTAATTTCAAGCCTAGACTTGTTGATGGCCAGTTTATATCCATTTGTTCTTCTGTCAACATTGGCACTTACCAGGGAGGCGGAGGAGTTATTTAATTATTTATCCCTCTGATGTATTTATATCATATCATGCAAAAGTGCATATCAAATCATATCTCCCCTCAGACTTCTTTTAGTTAGGCTAAACAAGCCAAGCTCTTTGAGTCTCCTCTTATAAGGTAGGTTTTCCATTCCTCTGATCATCCTAGCAGTCCTTCTCTGGACCTGTTCCAGTTTAAATTAATCAAACATGGGAGCATGGGCAGCCGGTGACTCGGCCGCCTGGGGAGGCTAACCCCCGGCCCCTCCCCTTGTGCCCAAGGCCTCGCCCCACCCCTTCTGCCCCACCTCCTTTTACCTCCCCCTTCCCCGCAGGAGCCCAAAGCATTCCCACAGCGGCCTCAGCCCCAGGGTAGCCCCCAGTCCTACTGCTCAGGCGGCCAGCGCCGGGCAGGCAGCACGGCCCAGCACCAGCCGCCCCGGCGGCCGCCAATCACTGCAGGAGGCACCAAGTACACTGGCCTGGGCGCAGGGCCACAGTTGGCTATTTGGGGAGGCAAAGCCTCCCCTTGGCTACGATACCCGCTGCCCATGCATGGAAGACCAGGATTGCACATAATATTACAGAGGAGGTCTCACCAGTGCTGTGTATAATGGTACTAATATTTCCGTCTCTACGGAAATACCTCATCTGATGCATCCTAGGACTGCATTAGCCTTTTTCACTTTTGCATCACAGTAGCTGCTCATAGTCATCTTGTGATCAACCAATACATCCAAGTCTTTTGCCTCCTCTGTCGCTTCCGACTGATATGTCACCAATTTATAGCAAAAATCGTTCTTGTTAGCCCCTAAATGCATGACCTTGCACTTTGGACTATTAAGTTTCATCTCGTTTTTATTACTCCGGTTTTCAAGGTCCTCCAGATCTTCTTGTATGATATTTCAGTCCTCCTCCCTATTGGTAATACCTTCCAACTTTTGTCATCTGAAAATTTTATTAACACATTCCTACTTTTTGTGCCAATGTCATTAATAAAAATGTTAAATGCAATAGGTCCCAAGACCGATCCCTGAGGAACTCCACTAGTAACCTCCCTCCAGCCTGACAGTTCACCTTTCACTAGGAAAGGTTATAGCACTCACCCAAGATGTAGGAGACCCAGTTTAAATCCTCCCATTGCCTGAGTTGGAGCAGGGATTTGAACGCACACTTCCAGAGAATGCCCTAACCATTGGGCTATGGAATATTCTGGGATGTCTTTCTCAATCTTTCCTGTTGAAGCTGTTCCACTTTGTATAAATAATTAAATTTTCATAGGGTCAGAAAGCATGTTAGAATGACTATATCCCAGTGGTTAGTGTACTTACCCGTGATGAAGGAAACCCAAATTCACATCCCTGTTCCAATGACTATAAACCTCTTCCCCCCCACCACCACCTTTTTGGGAAAAGGATTTGGTGTCTAACTCCATGAGAGGGTTCATGGCTGTGGATCCCAAGCAGAGATAGGTACCTCCTTCTGGCCCAGACTTAGGCCACACCTCTTTCCTTAGCATTTCCTATTGGCTAGTTTAGGTGAGAATGGGGATCCCCATTCTCAGGCATCTGATTCTCTCCATGCAGTCCACAGTCAGCCAGCATGCCTAACCTGGAGCTGTGGATTCCATTAGGCGGCAGCATGTCTAAAGTTAGGTGTTGCAACACTGAGCCCAAGTCCCTTTTATGGATCTATCACCTTGTGTCCAAGACTTGTGTAAAGACCCTTCATACCACTTATGTTCCAAAGTGGGGTTGTGGAGCAAAAGCAGCATAGAGACAAATCTGCACCCGTGTGCTATAGAAGGTAGCAGAGGACTTAGGTTCATTAGTTAGGGGATCTATAATTACGTGGCTCCAGTGGTCCTACGCCCCCTACTAGCCATGGGGATGCTATTCCAGCCCACAGGCTGCAGCAGTAGTTGCTAGATGCTGTGCTGCAGGTCCATAGCCTGCCTCTGGATTTGAGGGTGGATTTTGCTCTCCAGGCCCCATGCTCGTCACCTGCATAGAAGCCTCTGGCTTTGTGGGTGTGAAATAGAGCTGTGGAGGAACTGGAATTTCCATCCTGCAGAAAAATTTGCATTTAAAAAAATTCTGAATCAGAACAAAACAGAGTCAGAAATGTGAAGCTTTCTGTGGAATTGAAATCTTCAAAAATTCCATTTGAGATGAATCAAAATGGAATTTTTCAAAAAAGTCTGTGCCAACAAGCTGGTTCCCAAGCCACCTTGCTGGCTTGGGAGTGGGAAGCCTGGCAGCTGGGGAGCCCATAGGACTGCCAGGTGGGCACCCAAGGGAGCTGGCCACCCAGGAAGCTGGGGGGCCCACCAAGCAGCCAGCCTGTCTGGTTTCCATCTAAAGTTTAGACAGAATAGACATGTTCCTGCAAAAATTTTTAATTATGTTCAACTGGAATTTTTGCCATGGAAAAATTGTTTTTAGAAAATTTTCAACTAGCTTTAGTGTGTAATGAATGTCGCCTAATGAGAGCCAAATACATCAATGAGGCTGTCCAGGTCTTCAAGCTGTGATCCAGGGGAGAGTCTTCAGTGCTGTCTATTTCAGAAGTGAAACAGCAGAGACATCCAGTCACTGTGCCAAAGTAGCTCCCAAGGTTGAGGAACAACCCACAGAAGAAGGCCTTGAACACACCCACGGGATCTATATTAACTTTCCTCCTCCTCCTCCCTGTGATGGCCATGTCCGGGAATTATCACAAGGCTCTGCCCTGTCCCAGCACCTGGCACTAGAGGGGTCAGGTTGCATTAGACATAAAAGGATGGAGAGTCATATGCCACCCGGTAGGGCTCATCTGTGCAGCCTTGCTTGTCAACACTGCTCATCTGTGCAGCCTTTTCTCTCCTCCACCTCATTGTTCCCCCCCCCTCATCACTTGACTATTATGGCATCTACCATGGTTTTCATCCTTCCTCTCATGAATCCTAGTGATGCCCATCTTGTTTTGCTGCAATGGGATCAAGCAGCTGAAGAAGAGACCTGTGTAGCTCGAAAGCTTCTCTTTTTCACCAGCGGCATTTGGTCCAGTAAAAGGTATTGCCTCCCCAGCCTTGTTTTGGTGGTAATTAACTATAGCTGTTGGGAAAGTTCTAGGCTTCTTGGGTTGTGGTTTGAACAAGCAGAAGGTGTCAAAACTTAGCTTCAAAGATCAATGTGGAAAATAAACTCTCTGGTGGAAGGAATATAGAAAAAGAAAACACTTAAATGATCACGTAATTTGCAATTTAACAGACAGGGGACTTGCTTACTGTTTGAGTT